AAACTACTCACAAACCAGTGGGAGAACGCTGTAACCGGTCTGGTCATTCAATGACAGTCCTGCGGGTGGCTATATTACAACAGAAAAACTTCAAAAACAGTCTCCAACGAGAGACTGCTGAGCTGGAATTGATATGCAAAATAGACACAATCAACACAGGACTGAATCAGGACTGGGAATGGCTGAGCCATTACAAACATTGAATCTATCTCCCCTTGTAAGTATTCTCACACTTCTTATCAAACTGTCTGTACTGGGCTAGCTTGAGTATCACTTCAAAAGGTTTTTGTCACTTACTTAATTGGCCTCTCAGAGTTGGTAAGACAACTCCCACCTGTTCATGCTCTCTCTATGTGTGTATATATATCTCCTCAATATATGTTCCATTCTATATGCATCCGAAGAAGTGGGCTGTAGCCCACGAAAGCTTATGCTCTAATAAATTTGTTAGTCTCTAAGGTGCCACAAGTACTCCTGTTCTTTTTCCATTGAGATAAGGCAAATATGCCTTCAGACTCAGCAAAGAATGCAGGGACTGGCCCATGTGACTCCAGACTCCATTTTGATGTAATTTTCCACAGTAAGAATAAAGAGGTGTTCTTACACCTGGAAAAGACTATATAAGGCTAATGCCTCATCTCCATCTGGTCTTCAATCCTGCTTCATACCTCTGGAGGAACTTTGCTACAAACTGAAGCTCTGAACAAAGGACTGAGGACCCATCCCAGCGGGGGATGTATTCCAGAGACTTGATTTGAACCTGCAGTTTATTCCATCGCTGCTGCAAGCCTGAACCAAGAACTTTGCCATTACTGTATGTCATTGATTCCATTTAACCAATTCTAACTCTCATCTCTATCTTTTTCCTTTTATGAATAAACCTTTAGATTTTAGATTCTAAAGGATTGGCAGTAACGTGATTTGTGGGTAAGATCTGATTTGTATATTGACCTGGGTCTGGGGCTTGGTCCTTTGGGATCAGGAGAACCTTTTTTCTTTTACTGGGGTATTGGTTTTCATAACCATTTGTCCCCATAACGTGTGGCACTGGTGGTGATACTGGGAAACTGGAGTGTCTAAGGAGATTGCTTGTGAGACTTGCGATTAGCTGGTGGGGTGAGACCGAAGTCCTCTTAGCCTGGCTGGTTTGGTTTGCCTTAGAGGTGGAAAAACCCCAGCCTTGGGCTGTAACTGCCCTATTTGAGCAATTTGTCCTGAGTTGGCACTCTCAGTTGGGTTCCGCCAGAACCGCATTGTCACAACCCTCCCTCAGCCCTGGGCCCTCTGGCACCCCTTCCCTATACCCCCCATCCTCTCCTACCCCCTGTGGCTCTGCCCCACTACCCCCAGTCCGACCCCCGGATCCTCCTCCCCTGCAGCCCCCCCATAACCCCTCCAGCTACTGCCCCCCGAATCCTTGGTTCTGCTCTGGATCCCCCCGAATTCCCACCCCTGACCCAGACTCTGCGCTGGGTCCCCCCACTGGTACCTTGAGCACGGGGGCGTCGTCCCGGCCGGGGTAGGAGAACCAGACGTCCTGCACCTGGAGGTGCCCGCGCAGGGCGGGGGGGGCCAGCGTACCGGGGGGGCTGATCTGGGGCGTCCGCTCCATGTACTCAAAGATCTTCTCCGAGGAGCCCACGGCCTTCTGCACGCTGGGGTAGACGGAGAGCAGCACCTGGGGGGCAGGGGGAATACAGGCTGGGTGAGCTCACCCCAGAGCCCCCCATCCACCCCCCATCACTGGGGCAGATGGAGAGCTGCACCTGGGGGGCATGGAAGATCAGGGCTGGGTGTGCCCCCCCACAGGCCCCATCCCCAGGCAGGTGCCCCCCCCTCACCTCCACAGCCGTGGTGAATTGCATCTCGTAGAGGACAAAGGTGACCAGGTCCCCGGTGCTCACGGCTCCGGCGGTGACCAGCCGCCCCCCGTAGTACAGGATCCCCACCTTCAGCGCCAGCCCCGACAGCTGGGGGGGGGACAGAGCATTAATGGGGGTCTGCCCTCCACCCCAGGGAGCTCTGCGAGCGTCCCCACCTTATGGGGGAGTGATGGGGGCTCAGAGCTTTGGTCAAGGCTGAGGGACCCCACCTTGATGGGGAGAAGGGGCCCAACATGACTCCCCCAGGGGGGGCCCTTTGCCCTTCCCTGGCCTCCTCTGCCACCTCCCCATCCCCCAGAGATACCCCTCCTGTCTGACCCTGAGCATACGCCCCCCCGTGCTCCCTGCCACGGCCATGGGATACCAGGCCCCGCCCCCCCCCGCCCCAGGGATAGTGTCCCCTGCCCCGTGCCCCCAGGGTTACCACACTCCCCTGCCCCCTTGGTACATCTGCCAGCACCTTGGCCCTGGCTGCACCCCTGCCTCTGCACCCTCTTTGCCATGGCAGGCCCTCCCCCGTTGCCGTGGCACCTCTCCCCTGTTGCCGTGGTACCCCTTCCCCCCGTTGCCGCGGCGCCCCCTTACGCTGTTGGTCCACATGGAGGCAGCGTAGGCGGCTGCCTCCTGCCTGTTGAGCCGGTAGGTCTCCTGCAGCCGCTGCCCGTAGCGCTGGGCGGCCCCCTCCTCGTTGGCGAAGCTGCGCACCGTGGGCATGGCCTGGAAGGTCTCCACCGCCACCTCGTTGGCCTTGGCCAGGGACTCCTGCACCCGCTGCGCCAAGCTCTAGGGAGGAGCGGGGGGTCAGAATGGGGGTCTCTGGGCACCCCTCCGCCTCCATCCCCCTGCCCAGCCCCAGATCTGTTTCTGAGTCGCTGCCCCCAGAGTAGAGCCCCAGTCTGGCCCGCATTCCTCGCTCCTAGCTGTACATGTACACGTAGCCGAATTAAAACACGGATCATTTGCCTGCACCCGGCTTACCAAGCGACCTGCCCCGTGTCACTGACCCGTCACTTTCTTTTTTACCCCTCCCCAGTTTGAGTGTCATTTGCAGACTCTCTCAGTGAGGAAAGGTTTCAGAGTAGCAGCCGTGTTAGTCTGTATCTGCAAAAAGAACAGGAGTACTTGTGGCACCTTAGAGACTAACACATTTATTTAAGCAAAGTAACAGAACGCCACTAGCCGTCACCTTCAGCCCCCAACTAAAACCTCTCCAGCACATCATCAGAGATCTACAACCTATCCTGAAAGATGATCCCTCACTCTCACAGACCTTGGGAGACAGACCTGTCCTCGCTTACAGACAGTCCCCCAACCTGAAGCAAATACTCACCAGCAACTACACACCACACAACAAAAACACTAACCCAGGAACCCATCCTTGCAACAAAGCCCGATACCAACTCTGTCCACATATCTATTCAGGGGACACCATCATAGGACCTAATCACATCAGCCACACCATCAGGGGCTCGTTCACCTGCACATCTACCAATGTGATCTATGCCATCATGTGCCAGCAATGCCCCTCTGCCATGGACATTGGCCAAAGTCTCTACGCAAAAGAATAAATGGACACAAATCTGACATCAGGAATCATAACATTCAAAAACCAGTCGGAGAACACTTCAACCTCCCTGGTCACTCAGTAACAGACCTCAAAGTCGCAATTATTCAACAAAAAAACTTCAAAAACAGACTTCAATGAGAAAATGCAGAATTGGAATTAATTTGCAAACTGCACACCATTAAATTAGGCCTGAATAAAGCCTGGGAGTGGATGGGTCATTACACAAACTAGAACTATTCCCCCTGCTGTTACTCACACCTCCTTGTCAATTGCTGGAAATGGGCCATCCTGATTATCACTACAGAAGTTTTTTTTCTCCTGCTGATAATAGCCCACCTTAATTGATTACACTCCTTAGAGTTAGTATGGCAACACCCATTTTTTCATGTTCTCTTTGTACATATCTCTTCCTACTGTATTTTTCACTGCATGCATCCGAAGAAGTGGGCTGTAGCCCACGAAAGCTTATGCTCTAATAAATGTGTTAGTCTCTAAGGTGCCACAAGGACTCCTGTTGTTTTTTCAGTGAGGATTGTAGGTTTTCTTCCAGATCATGGATAAAGATGTTAAATAGCGCAGGGCCAAGCACTGATCCCTGGGGGCCCCACTAGAAACCCCCCCCCCGAATGATGATTCCCCATTGACAGTTACATGTGGAGACCGATCAGTTAGCCAGTTTTTAACCCATTGTGTGTGGATCCTGGGCACCCACAGGCTGCCGTGGGGGGTGGGAAGGAGGGGCAGTGGGGAGCAGTGCAGAGGGGGCAGATGGTAGGGGTGGGGGAAGGGCAGGAGATAGTAGGGAGGGGGGAGGGGCGATACCTGGTGGAATTTCCTAGAGCGCTTGGGCACCAGCAGGATGAGGGGCAGCGTGGGGTGTGGGGCAGGGGGCTGAGCAGGGTGGGAGCAGGAGGGGGCAGGTTGTGGGATGGTGGGCTGAGCAGGGCGGAGGGCGGGGGCAGGTTGTGGGGCGGGGAGTTGAGCAGGGTGGGGGCAGGTGCAGGGCAGGTGGTGGGGCAGGGGCGCAGTACCTGGTGGAATTTCCCGGAGAGCTTGGGCACCAGCAGGATGAGGGGCAGTGTGGGGCGGGGCGGTGGGGGGAGGAGATTGTGGGGTGCAGGGCTGGGGGGGAGGGGACAGGTGGGGGGGGGCGCGGTACCTGGTGGAATTTCCCGGAGAGTCTGGGCACCAGCAGGATGATGGGCAGCGCGGGGTGTGGGGCAGGGGGCTGAGCAGGGCGGGGAGCTGGGGGCAGGTTGCGGGGTGGGGGGCTGTGGGCAGGTTGGGGGGGGCGAGACGCAGTACCTGGTGGAATTTCCCAGAGAACTTGGGCACCAGCAGGATGACGGGCAGCCCCACGGCGGTGAAGAGCGCCAGGCGCAGCGACACCTGCACCATGAGGCCGAAGAGGAAGACTCCCCGCATCCCGTACCACATCAGCAGGTTCAGCTTCTCGCTCAGCGCCTCGCTCATGGCGTCCGTGTCGGCCGTCACCCGCGACGTGATGTCCCCTGGGTGGGGGGCAGCGGGGGAGGGTCAGTGGGGACGGATCCTGGAGCGATTCCACAGTGACCTGTCCAGCCTGGGCCGTCCAGCCACACATCACCCTTGTTCCTACTCCCTCCATCCCTCCCTCCTTCACAGCGTATCCATCCCTCCCTCCTTCCCTCCCTCATAGCTTATCCCTCCCTTCCCCCCTCCCTTATTCACAGCATATCCATCCCTCCCTCCTTCCCTCCCTCCCTCATTCACAGCGTATCCAGCCAGCCAGCCCTGCTCATGTATTTAGGGGCCAGTTGGGGGGTGGGGGTGGGGAGCCCTAGCGAGGAAGTAGGGAGCTTGTGACAATGGGGCAGGGCCTGGCTGTGGGTTGGGGCAAGGGGAGGACCCTGGGGGGGGGTGGTCTGTGGGGCGGGGTGGGGGGGGTCCGGGTACGGGTACCGT